ATGATTGATTGAGCATTTTGTTGTTAGTAAGCACAGACAATAAAACAGCACCAAGCTTTAAAGTGAATTTTAAGGTTTGCATGAGGGGTACAGCCAACCTGTGTTCAATGCCAGGACACACATGAAGAAATTTTTCTTCACTGCTTCAGCGCTAAACAGAAATCTTCAAACCTGTCTGTGTGGGACTTTCCACCGTGACTATAGCTACACTCATTAATCAGCCCCAAAAAGCAATGTCAAACCATATTTGTCACATTTTTATGATTCATTGCTTTGAGAGAGGAGGAGAAAAACTCTCCCCTGAAGCTGGGATTTCACCCGAAACAAGCAATTCAAAGGCAATTTGTTGCTTTGTCATGTATAGGTTGCACTGATAGTGACGGATTGCCCGTCATAGGGTTTTTGTTTGCACAGATTTCACTGTAGTGCAAGAATTTGGAGGAGTTAAAAACTGAGACTGTTTTCATACAGCTGTGATATTTGATCCCACAGATTATCCTCAGATTACAGGTGCTCCTGCTGACCCATGTTGTAGATGGAAGGGCAGGCTGCCTCAGTCCAAGTTGATTTCACTAAGCTGTGTGGAAAATGATGAATGGCTGCAGTACATAATAAAGCAATCACAAGGGTTTTTACTTTTAAAAGTGGTTATGTAACTCTGTTCCCTAATACACTTTTGCAGTTAGTTTAATTAAAGCCACTATGTGTGCAATTTTACAGGGTCAGAGAATAACTGAAATTATTTTGATGGCATTTTTGTTTGTAAAAAAAAGAGACAATTACATTGAAAATTTGAGTTTATGATGCATTTGTGTTTATCTGGGTGTTGAATTCATAGTTCTATGCCACAGTTTTTTTATACTACCACCAGGGATTACCATCCATCCATCCATCCATCGTCAACCGTTTATCCTGAAAAAGGGTCGCGGGACCAGGGATTACAAAAATGAAAAATGAAAACTTCTCTTAGTCAACTTCTCATTATGGTTTAATGGGACCCCACATCGACAAGTGTTTTCTGCCAAAGTTAAAACTGTTTTTGTCATTTCACAGCAGTGCTTAGTTTGAAACACTTATCAGAATTTAGCTACACATTAATCAAATTATGATGATAGTTGGTGGTTTGTGTGTTCACTGTCAATCAAATCTGATCAAACTGCACCCATGCAGCTAATTTCTGAGTGTTACAATGTTTATTCATCAATATTTAATGGTAATAATAAGTATGATATATCATGTCATGCGGTCATAATAGCTTTAAAAAAAAAAGTGGACAAAGACACAAAGGAAAAAGCCCTTGCCTCCACAACTGCAGGAACCCAGGTCAATCCCTGGCTACAATGCCATTGGCTTGGTGAGACGCTACACTAGGAACTCCTCTTGGTTGGTTGTGGTGCATGTGCAGAGGGGGTGGGACCTACAGTGGAAGTGGCTGGTGATTACATGTGTATCAGAGAAATAACCACACCCTCACCCTCACAGAAGAGCAACAGTATGAGCTAGCAGTGATAACAAATGGTGGGAAACAACACAATGCTTGTAACACAGGACAAACCCCCTTTTTGGCATATGAAATGAATGAGCACCTTTCATTGAAGTGAATGGGTGCCATCACGTAGTCTGATATCCAGTTCTCATAACCCATCCTTAAATTGTGAGCAATCCGAGTTCAAGTGAAGAGGAGTTTAAAAGCTTTAATTCAAACAGCATTAAGTGATATTTCTTGACATAGATACTTAACCAAATGACTCCATGCCGTGTGAAATAGCTGCTAGTAGGTAGGCTGACAACCGCTAATAGAAATAGAAATGGTGAGAATGAGATACACTTTTTTTTATATAAACAACTTCAACATTATCTTTGGTTGCTTAGCACATGCCCTAAATATGCATACATACAAATTCTGATATAAATTAAAGACATTGCAACATTGTGTAGCCTCCTCCTGTCTTGAGAATGCATGTTGAAATACTTTCTCACAGATTCTAAAACATAAATATAAGTATAACCATAACAGTGTTTTAAAAGAATCACTTGACAGTGTCAGAAAAGCATAGCAGATGTGTGCCTGTGTCAGCTCCTTCTTTCTGGGGAGGGAAAGAATTATAGAAATGCCTTCACAGATTTGTGACCCTTTGTTTTGAATCTGGTCTTCTGCTGTCTTTTTTCTCACAAATCTTCTTAAACTTATAAACGTCTGGTTTACATTGAAGGGTGCTCCGCCCAAGTAGAAAGGGGGCAGATACCATGTTCCTTGCACCAAAAAAAGAAACATTTTCAGTGGCTTCCAAAGTGTTTAAGTCTGGTTATTTTATCAGATTTTTATGGATGAGTGGAGGTGGGACAAAATAAGTGGAATGTTTTAAAGTGCCAAGAGGTAATAAAAGAAAATGTCTTGGTCTTAAACAGAGCTTATCCTTTAGATGATAATACTATTTGTCTGTCATCAACCCTAGTAGAGTTGTGGTGCTGAGTGTCCCTTGACAATTAAGCGGCATTAAATTCACTGACTGGAGAAGGATGTAATTCAGAAGTTATGGGAGTGTTCAGAATATCCTTGAGAATCCAAAGTAATAAGCAGTGTTGCTACAAAGTAACACAAAAGAGTATTCAGATTACTTTTTTGTTTTGCAATCAATTTGGTATTTGGTTATTTAATCAAGTTTTTTAAATGAGCAAAGCTGGTTTTGTTAAAATTTTATTGGATTGGATTGACGTATTCGAACTGTTTCTGTTCCTTTTATACTTCTTGGAGGGTAGCTGCATACTAGTGGAAGGTATCCATCCTACGGTTGTGTTAGTGCGCATGTGTAGCTCAGCAAGCAAGATATGGCTGGGAGGACAGCCTTTACGTTGTGGAGGTAAATAATTAAGCATTGACTTAGTTAACTGGTTGCATGTTGAAACAATGTACTATAAGCTATACAAGCTCATGTTTTATTGTTTTCACAGAGGTATATGTGCACAATGTGCCTATGCCCAGTTTGCTGTCAGTGTCACGATTTGGTCTTGTCTGCTTTGTGTTCCTGTGTCTTGACCTTTGTTTTAGTCTGTTTCTCTGTCATGTTTGTAGTCTGTGTTATCAGATATTTAGTCTGCTTGGTCTGTTCTGTGTTTTGGGTTTTAGTCCTGTTTGTTTCTTGTCTTGTGTTCAGTCTGCCTGTTTCCTGTTCTGTTCAGTGGCCTGTACTACGGAGGGAGTTCAATCTACTCAGAGTTAACGCAGGGTTATCAAGCAAACTCAGGGTTGACAAACTCTGACTTCCAACACCAGTGTTAAACAGTACTACGACGGCAAATAAGATGTTAATTAGTTGAGTTGGTGTTAACTTAAAAATAATAAGAGTTTGTGCATATTTGCATAAAAGGGGCGTGTTCGGACGTTTTTTGCAAGGGCGCATGCTCCTTATTTTCCCCAGAAGAATGCACAATGATTGTGTCAGGATATGAGGAGTTTAAAGAGGAGTGTTAATGGCTAAATCTAATATCGTAGCGGCCGACAAAGCCAGGGAGCCTTGTTGGCATCACACTGAGTAAATTTGAAATTATCTTCACATTGTATATTGTAGGCTAATTCTCTATTATGTAGGCCCTATTTTATGGGCTCTTCTTTTATGTGTAATATGATTAAGATGTATATTATGTCCATTGTAATAATAATAAAAAAAAGAAGCGGAGAGGGGTTAAAAAAAAACTTGTATTCTCTGACTTTATTATCATACCTTGAAGAAAAAATTCAATTTTCAATATCACGCACGCAAGCTCCTCCCGCGGGCTGCCACCAAGTGGTGCAACCAGGAAGTAACAGAAAACTGCAATTCATCGAGTGGCCACTTGAGACTGGCTGCAGAAGGGAGTCAATCTCCATTGACCCCCATGTTAAAAAGCCCAACTTTACAGCAGAATAAAACATGTTTACAGCCTGGTTCAAAAAATGGTTTTAGGGCATATCACTAATTTTGCCCTTTGTGACAACTGTGAGGGTTTTTTTTTTTTACTGTTACGTCCCACCCTTTGGTGGCAACATGGGACGAACAACACCCCAACACTGACCCAAACTCAACACAAATAAACACCTTTAAAACAACCAAATCAAGGGAATTTATTAACATAACTAGACAATAAATTAAGAACACCAAAAACACAACACAAAAATGCCCCAGGTGGGAGGCAGCAAGGCTAGCAGTCCCAAATCAAGAAGGGTCCCCTCCTGACACATGCACAGCAGCTTTTAAAGCCCGCCTTCCAAGGCCAGGTGGACCTTATTCAGTAATTAGCTGGAGCACTCCCAGAGCAGAACTGAAGGACAGAAAACATGGACACAGCACAGGGAAATACATACAGCCGTAACATTACTCACCTGTTTAAATTATATTAAGCCTTAAAGTTCTGCATTACTACCCACATAGCAGTGACATTTGGCCCAGATTTGGCTTAAAGCTGGCACTGCTGGCACTGAGTCGGCACTGGCATAAGGCATATGAACCGAACATGGCCCAGGTGTGGCAGACAATGGCACCGCCTTTAAGGCGGCAAACAAGATATGGGCCAGTTGTTGAGCGTTGTATTTGGCCCAGATGTCAAATTAGAAATGTGGGCCACAGATGTATGACCGGTCTTGTCCCACAGTTTAATTTCAGATATTTTTGAGTAAGGTGCTAATAATTATTTAAAAGCATACTTCCATGACTTGTATGTGTAAACAAACAAATTTAAAAAAATTAGGCCCATGATGAGTTTTTTTTTTCTTTTTTAAAATACAAAATCTAGACACCTCCTCCACTATTTTTGTACCTTGCCAGTAAAAAAACCGTTTTAAGATTTATTTATTTTTTGTTAGGAATTAATTCAAATAATGTCATGATCCTGTAGGGATTTAGCTCCATTCAAGCCGTCTTGAAATGGTGATCTTCTGAAAAGGAAAAACTAATGGGAATTTAAATTCTGAAACAAGGCCCTGGAAATAGTAGGCGTTGACGTTCTGATGTCAATCAATTGAATTTATCAACGTATCCACTCAGTGTCGGCTGCACCAGGGCCGTGGACAGGGACGTCACTGGAACGAGCCAACGGTCGAGACTACCAAGAAAAAAGAGAGAGTGCTGACTCACTGCACTCACGGTCACGGACTAGTTTGGGGAATAGCAAGTTGCCCAGAGCACTGTGGCTACAAGCCAGCAAAGAAGTGGTGAGTGAGAAACAATAATTTCATGTTTATGAAAACGTTACTGTTTTAGTTATTACATTTGGTGTTAGCTCACAAAGCTAACATTCGGGAGAGGTCGGGAGTCTAGCTTGAATGTTACTGTAAGGATGGGGCTAGGCTAGGTATAAGCTAACGTTAGCTAGCTAGCTAATCGTCATAGGCTATTAAAAAGATGTTATTTCCGAGTAAGCTTGTGAAAAGTGCTATTTTTGGTTAACCTATTTTGCAATTAAATTTAGATAACATTAGAGAATGGTATTCTTTCAAGCTAAGTGATATGCCTTGATATAGATTAGCTAACGTTAACTTAATGTAGTTTTGAAAAGTAACGGCAGGATTTTTGAATTTAGCGGCATTTGGAGATGCGCGTGCAACCATCACGCCATGGCCGTGCAGCTCTCCTTTAAATTTCAAACACGCAGAAAAAATATTTTACGTATTACAAGATTATCTATATCAATGCAGTGTCACTAATCTTGAAATAATTTTGAAATAATTAGTTCAGCTCGAGTAGTTCATATGTCACCTGCTCTGCTGCGTGTGTAAGGTTGACTGACGTTAATACACACAGACATGAAGCCCCATCAATGGCCCATCCTCAACCTGGGGAAACACTGCTTGCTGTCTTTTAATACTAACGTTATTGGATTACTATTTCTTATTTGGGCTATTTGGGATTTTGGCTTAATGCATTATTATTTAAAAAAGAAAAAAGAATTCAATTTTAAAAGTTCAATAAATGCAGGATGTTCCCGAAGGCAGTAATTGTTTTAAATAATTGTGATCTCAATATTTACCAGATTAATTGTGATTATGACTTTTGCAATAATCGAACACCCTAATGTAATCTATATTTAATTGCAGAATAGCTTAGCTCTTGTCATTGATATTTCATTCTCATTTTAAGCTAAATAAATATATAACATAAAAAAATTGTAATTTGGTATATTCTTCTTTGTCTGTTTCAGGTTGAAGGACAAAAGTTTGAGGAAAGTCACGGTATGGAAAAGGCGTGGATGTACAATGATAGGGGCAATGCACGAAGAAGGGCATTAAAGACAGTCAGTAAACTGATTGAAAATGAGCTGGATAGGGGAGGGATGGTGGATGCCAATTTAGAGTTAGGTGATTGTGTTGATGATTCAGAAGAATCTGAGATGCTATTTAGTGATGAAGAAAGTGATCAGTGTCTTCATGTTGAGGAAAAGGAAGTATATGAAGAGACTGTAGCTTCTGTTGAGGATCTGCCTGATCTTGGAGAACAGTGCAGTCATAGTGATGGTGATTTGCGGAGCTCTCTGGCAGATTGGGCAGTTGAATTTGGTATTTCTCTAATAGCTCTGTCAGCGCTTCTCAGCATTCTCAAAATCTGCCATCCCTCTCTGCCAAAGGATGGACGAACACTGCTGAAAACAAAAACATGCTACAACATTAACAGTGTAGCTGGTGGTGTGTTCCACTATTGTGGAATTCTGAATTCTATCAGGAAAATTCTAGATAAAGTGTGGTCTACAGTGCCAGACGGACATGCTTTTAAACTGCAGTTGAATTTTGATGGTCTGCCGCTTTGCAAGAGTACTAGTACACAGTTTTGGCCAATTCTTGGTATGTTGCAAAGATACACCAAGAAACCAATGTTGATCGGACTGTTTTGTGGTACTTCTAAGCCAAATTCGTTGGCCGAGTATCTTCATAATCTGGTTCAAGAGTTGAAAATGTTGAAAAGTGGGTTTCTGTTCAAGCAGAAAACCTTCTTTGTGAATGTTGTTTCTGTTGTGTGCGATACCCCAGCCCGAGCCTTCATAAGAGGTGTGAAGTCACACACTGGATACCATGGGTGTGACAAGTGTCACCAAACGGGTGTCCGCAAATCTAATCGAATGACATTTCCTGAGGTCAATGCAAGGCGCAGAACGGATGACAGTTTTAGGCAAGCAGTAGATGAGGAACATCACATCCATCACTCGCCTCTTGCAGATGTTGGCATTGACATGGTGGCTTGTTTCCCATACGATTATATGCACCTGGTTTGTCTGGGTGTAATGAGGCGTCTCTTAGATTTGTGGATCAGCACCACTGGTCCTTTGCGCTGTCGCATTTCATCTAGTATAGCTTCCATGGTTACGGATAGACTTCTTGCTCTGAAAAATTACATTCCCAGTGAGTTTGCTCGAAGGCCACGGGCACTGGCTGAACGATGTAGGTGGAAAGCCACAGAATTCCGCCAATTCTTGTTATACACTGGTCCGGTTGTGCTGAGGGGTGTTTTAAAACCTCAGATCTATGACAGCTTCATGCTTTTGTCAGTAGGTGTGTATATTTTGGCAAGTCCAAAATATTGTATGGAGATGAACGACCTTGCTCACACTCTGCTGGTTTCATTTTTTGAACACTTTGGACAGCTTTATGGTGAAGAGTTTTGGGTTTACAATATTCATGGTCTGTTGCATCTCAGTGAAGATGTCAAAATACATGGCAATTTAGATCTTATATCAGCATTTCCCTATGAAAATTTCTTAGGAAAACTTAAAAAATTGGTTCGGGGGCCATGCAATCCTTTGACTCAGGTGTTACGCAGATTATCAGAAATGGAAAATGGCAGCTACAGTCCAGATGTTAAAGAGGCAACTCAAAAACTGGATAAAGAGCATATGGGCGGGCCAGTGCCAAAGTGCTTCTCACAACATGTTCGTCAATTTAAATATTGGCTATTGATGATATAGTTGGGAAGCCCAATGAGAGAGATTCTTGTATCAAAGTCGATAACAAGTTTGTTTTAGTCCGAAACATTGTTGAGGATAAAGGAATTGTGTACCTTGTGGGTAATGAATATAAACAGGTGGAACATTTCTTTAAATATCCAATTGACTCAAAAGAGTTGGAAATTTATGTGGTTTCCAACCTCTCCACCAATATCAAGTGTTTTATGATTGAAAAGAAGCTACAGAAGTATGTAAGATTACCATTTCGAAACAGATTTGTTGTTGTTCCACTCTTGCATTGAAACTAGTAACCCTGAAGTTGCTCTTGTATTTTAGTTGGCTATGGAATTTATGTAGTCATGGTTGCTTATTTTCAGATGTTTCATATTGTTGTCTTTGACAACACAAATGAGGTTGAAGTTGTGCCTTCAGTCTGGATAGAAAATGGAGAGTGTATGTGGCCTCCAAATAAAATTGATGTGGCAAAAGCTGTAAAATCTCAAGAATGTCCTGGAGATGGATGGATGCCCCATAAGGCCAGAATTATCTTCACATCACGTAAGTTAAGTGTTATCACCTCTACCTTTTAAATTGATCTAATGATAGATCATAATATCACTTAAATTTACTTTTTTTCCCTGTATTTTGTTTTTCTAGATAACTACAATGAAGCAAGGCTTAAACTACCTCAGGCTGTCGATCACACTGACCTTGGAAGTGACGGAGGGGACTTGCCAATTAAATTTAAAAGAAAAAGAATGTATGTTTTTTGTTTTTTTATAAATCTGCAGCAGTGTTTCCCGTACGTTCATTTATTTGTGGCGGCCCGCCACAATATCAACGCTGACTGCCACACATTGATTTTAGATTATTTTTTACTAAGCCTATTTAAAATCGTATTTGATTGCAGAGCGCCGTAGCGCATTAATGCAGCACTTTCTCTCACTCGTCCCTCTCTCTCTCTCACTCACCTGTACCTCTCTCTCTCTCCCTCTCTCCCTCATGGAACACAGCTGCACAAATTATTATTATTATTATTAGCAAGCATGTAAGGAGCCTAGCTAATAAGGAGAGCTAAGTTAATGTTATAAGCAGCTGGATTTTCGAGACTAGCACGCTGTATATAGCTGGTAGTCAATATGCATGCACTCGCGCACACATACTGTTTCTTAAAATTATTAAATGTGTTTTTAGACGCAAGAATATTCTTTTCCCTGGGGAAGACGATGACGAGATGGAAAGCACCCTGAAAGTCACATTGCCCAATGCTCCAAAGATCCCTAGGCAGTACAAAACTCCTACATTAAAGCCAGGGAAGCAAGGCCAGAACCTCCAGCCAAGTGGCAACAGCAGTCCTGACTTCCCACCAAGTGGCAACAGCAGTCCTGACTTCCCACCAAGTGGCAACAGCAGTCCTGACTTCCCACCAAGTGGCAACAGCAGTCCTGAGCCAAGCCCAAGTCAGCACTCCTGTACTTCCAAGTTTCCTTCAAGCTGTCACACCAACACTGAGAACCGGACGCCGAGGCACGCCAGCACCGAGAGCCGCCGGACGCCGAGGCACGCCAGCACCGAGAGCCGCCGGACGCCGAGGCACACCGAACGATCTATACTCCCATCAAGGCACCCCGAGGCACACCAGACCAGGGAGCAGACATCCAGTCTGCAAACTTGTGAGTATTCAATGATGTTTGTTACATTGTATGAATTCTTTATTTGGCTAAATGGTTTCTTCAGATAATGAGGAAAATAAGACTTCCAACATTAAGTATACACAGATGACTAACAGAGGTCAGATAAGACTATCAGTTCGGTGGCTTAACTAGTTTTATACTGTTTCTAATCTATCTTTCTTGCTTGTTTTCTTCTTAGCCCTTCTGCGTAGTATATTAACAAAACAGGAAATGATGATGGACCAACTGCGCATCATCTTTAAGACCCTACAGGGTATGAAAGCGACTGATGAGGCAGAGATAGGCCTGGATCGAAATTTGTTGCCCGTCAAAGACGTCAGTTCTCTTCAGAACCTGGAGGAACAACTGCAGAGTATTCCTGACCTCCAGAAACAGTTGGTATGTTGGCATATCAAATACAGTGACATATTTCCTACTTAGCTGGCTAGCTTTTATTTTCCTTAAATTCTCTCATGAAAACCTGACCAGGTACCCGCAGGGATTTAAAAGTAATAAAAAAGCATTTAATTTTTTATGATCAAAACACTATATACAAAAACAAAAAAGGAAATACTATTTAAATATCAGGGATGTGATTTTTCTGGATTAATCCGGAATTCCTGATTTTCCGACCTGAAAATATGACCCGCATGAATCATGCAGATCTGTAATAAAAACAATTTAAACAGGAGCTCACTGAGTGAAATGGAAAGGATTTGAGGACATCTACAGGCTGACATGTGTAAAGTTTTCTTCCTGTACAGTGTGTACCACAGTCGCTCTCGCGCATCAGTAGTACGTAACGTGTTGGGCAGTAATACTGCAATATTACTTTTCCGGGTAAAGAGTAATGTAAGGGATTACTACTTCCAAAACAGTTATATTATTACAGTTACTAATCCAAATAACACTGCGCTACTGAACGCACCATCCCTGTCGTGAATGTGCGACCGCGCTGCAGCTCAGTGGCACCGGCCCTTCTGCATTTCAAGTCAGCTGTTAGCCAAGAAGCTAAAGGAAAAGTGGAGAACAGGCAGAGAGAGGTATTTTCGACCGCTGTAAATAACTTTATTGCCATTATTGTGTCACAGTCTAAGATGCAAAGAACATTGCCGTCCGTTGTAAACCTTGTGCGACCAGCAAAAAGTTTTTGACCGCGAACAATTCTGCATTTATACTTAAGCTAATTGAAGCATCAGCTAAAGCAACACAGCAACGTGAAACTCAGAAAGAAACTCCGGCCGCTGCCAGTGATGCTTGGACTCATGCGGTGAGAGTGGCGTTAATCACCCAGTAAAAGAGAGTAGCTAATATTACTTTTTTAAGGAGTATATGCTAAGTAACTAGTAAGTAGCTGTATTATTTCTGAACAACACTAAGTTGACAGTAAGATCGGATAAATTGGGTATGTTTTGATTATTGCTTGTTATAGGCTATCTAATGTTTACTTTGACTTTGTTGTTGATTGATCAATCACCTAGACTATATAGCCTACACTTTGCTGTATGAATGGTAGCTTTTTAAGTCCTTATGTTTTGGCAAGTTTTAAATTAATTTTTTGTGAATGGTTGCGACAAGGTTTGTAAGGCCTTTTCAGACGGCTTTGATCCGCGTGGTCGCTCTGCACTCAGGCAAACGAGCACTCCACGAGGTAACCATGGCAACGGCTTCTGTGTAGCTGGCACGAATCCCGTGAAACTGTCGCGGCTCGTCTCACGCGCCCGCCAGAGTTGAAATGTCAAACTTTTCCCTAAAGTTTATCAACAGAGACTGATCAGCTGTTTGATCTGAGTTTCCTGAATAATATTACTGTTTCTTTAACAATTAGGCCACCAGGTCTTAAACAGGCAACAACCTTTGCTGCTGTCTCTTATTCATTAAAAATAATCTATCAACTACTGAACTAATCTTAAAGTTTAGTGTGATCGTGGAGTGTGCACAAATGTATATTAAAATTTAAGTACCTGGTAAAATCCATACTGATTTTCCATTATATCCTTCATACTTTTGCCAGTATGGCTGTTAAATTGGCATTAAATTTCATTCTAAGTGGTATTACAAAGGTCTTTAAAAGTCTTAAATTTAATTTGGACAATCTTGGGGTACCCTGCTTAAGCACAGTGTAACATGTTTTTCATGTGGGTTTATATATTTTAAAACTAACTTTAAAGGACAAAACCAGCCTTAAATTTATTTTCCGTCAACTGCCATAATCATAAATGTATGCTACAAGTGTTTGTTGCAAAACTGTACTTTTTTTATGTTGAAACAACATTCTTCCTTGTTGCCTGAAACTTAAAGGTTGCCATGATAAGTAAATCCATCAAAACTAAGCAGCTAGCTACAGGAACACCACTTACTTATGCTATACATTCTATCCATTACTTAAAATACGTAAATATGAAACCATTGCTGGGGGGAAAAAACTAATTAAGAAATATGATTTCAGGTGAACACGCTGGCTCTCAAAGGGGGGACTGACATTCGTGAGTGTGTTTGGAGGATTATGCACGCAATGATTACAAACTCCTTGGCGAAGAATATCAACATGAGAGGAATAAATGGAAAGATTGGCTTTCAGCGCCTACAGATAAGAGATGTTGTGATTGGTAAGTTGGCCTTCATACCAACATTGGCATGTATATGTTTAAGAACCATTAACAGTTATATAACTTGATAGTTCAGGGTCTTAAGAAGGAAGGAAGGAAAGCAGGGATGGACAAGATGAGGAAATGTGAAGGAAAGTAGAGGAAAGGAAGCAGGTGAGAAAAGTGAAGGAGCTGAAAGGAGAAGACAGGAAGAGAGATGAGGGTAGGGGTGGACAGGAGAAGGGTCATTAGAGGACAGTAGAGGAAGAGAAGACGGGTGAGGTGATGAGGAGAGGAAATACCGTGATTTATCTTTTATTGGAATAGATACAATAGGACTTATTTAGAGATAATTGATTCGGGCAGGGGAAATTGAGAATGGCTGGTTGCTTTAAAAGAAAAATTCCCTTAAACTGAACCAACGCCCTTTTGACAGACATTCTGGTGTGATATCTACATGCAGAGACCATAATTTTGCAGATCAGTTTAAGTAGAAAGCCATAGGCAGCCATTACTGGTTCATATTGTACTCTGTCCTTTAAAATCCTGTAGTCACAAGTTAATTGTGTGTGTGTTTTTTTTTTTTAGCTGCTGTGAGGCGTAACCGTCTGACATCTGGGGCCACGGACCAAGAAATAGATTCCACCATCAAAAGATGGCTTCATCTGGCTCCGGATAGGGATGGTGGCAGGAGGGAGAGGATGAGGAGAAAAGAGCGTGAAGAGAGCAGGACAGCAGTAAACAATTTAATGAACTGAAACATGGCATAGACATGTGTGCAGAGTACAACGGGTTCATGTACTGAAACATAGCATGGATGTTCAGAAGTTGTTTTTTGTCAAGTGTTTCACAAGTTTACAAGTGCAAAACCGAACTGAATTTCAGCTGGAACAGCGGGAGGCCAGGACTGTGTTTGTTATCCTGGACGAAAGTTGTGTGCAGAGTACAACGGGTTCATGGACTGAAACATAGCATGGATGTTCAAAAGTTGTGTGTGTTTTACAAGTGCAAAATCTAACTGAATTTCAGCTGGAACAGCAGGAGGCTGGATCCGTGTTTGCTAACCTGGACTGGGCTAAAACACTTAACCTGGTCTGGATGTTGTGGGAAATAAATACCATAATTTCTGTGCCGGACAGATCCTCACGCCAAACTATGTTCAAAAATCTTTTATGTACAAGTGTTTTGTACAAGAATTTCCTATTTGTCTGTACATTTTTACAAATGCACTGCTGACGTGGGGGGGTTGAGGTGAGAGGAGATAAGTGGAGGAGGGGACTGGAAAAAAGAGAGGAAGAGATTGTCTGGCAAATAAAATTTACAGTTTTGAAAATGGCTTGATGTGGAAAAATCAATAAATATTTTTCATAAAACGTCTGTATTGAGGCTTTTTTTTTTGTTTGTAATCTGGGCCAAATACGGCAACTGTATAAAATTAAAGTGGCATGGTGAAGGTTTAGTTGAGGCTGACATGTGGAAACAGTGCAAAAATCAGGTATGGTCCAAAATAGGGCCAGCTATAGTCATACAGTGGGCTGAGATATGGCTATATCATGGGCCATATGTGGCCCGTGTTCTAGCTACCAGATATGGACCACTTGTGGACCGTAATTCATTGATGTATCTGGGCCGAGTCTAAGTGTGTTGTGTGGCCCGTCACTGGGCCAGACCAGTTTTGCTATGTGGGTAGGGGCGTGGCTGCTTTCATTGACAAGCTCCTCTCCCCGCTGTAAATCCTAGCACTCGGTCCGCCGTCTGTTAGCCTCACTCAGCTAATACACAGAACTCTGAGGCTCACCCTGTTGGAGCCGTGTGGACATTTCTACATGCAGATACCGGATGAATAATGGCAGGCTGTGCAGTTTATTGGCAAAAGAACTTCCAGGAAGTCCGTGTTCTAGTTGGTGAGTGAAATTAGTTAAAGACTCAGCAAGAAGAGAGAAGCCAAAATTTATTAGATTAACGTTAGTGTTAGACATTAGGGTGATAATGCTTGGAAATACAGTACAGGCGTCTGTATGAAGTTGTAAAGTAAAGGCTCAGCTAAACATCTCTGGCTCAGCTCTCTTAGCTGACGTTATGTTATCGGTAAAAAAAAAAAAGGGCAATGTTAGATTTACCTACGTCCTGTAACGGAGTTGCTGTTCAGTTAGATACTAGTCAGATACTATTACAAGTGGCTGCACTTGATCCCTGAACATGAAGGGTTTAAAGGCAAAGAGCCGAAGGGGGAGCAGCTGCAGAGTTCTGCCTGAAACTGTCACACCTGCTTGCCGAGGACAGCCATGCACCTCCGACTATAACGTTACTGTTTAAAAACGGTATACTATTCTTAGCGAGGTTCATCAGTGGGGATGATTGAAGTACTATATTGAAGGACGTTTGTAGTCATCAATAAGTTATTACACTTAGTAGATGTAGCATTCCTTGAGATTCAGCAAACAATCTGAGGTCATAACTGCGTTTGATCAGCAACGTTTATGATAAGGAGCTTAAGAGGTGGATGAATAATTCGGCACAACAGATGTTGTAGGCTACCTACAGAGATTTGCATCCACCTTTTTGTCAGCATATAATGAGCGGTGTGCCTGCAGACAGGTAGCTGGGCTGTAACTAGAGCGATGGTTAAGTTAAGGCAAGAAATTAGGTGTGTGAGAGCCGCCCCTGAGTTTGTTTGGTGGATTTGAGTTTGCCAAAAAGGGAGTACAGTTCAATAAGAAATATAAAATAAGATCCTTATAATAAACGTTCAATAAGATCTGACTTGAGTAGTCAACAGGTGTCTAGCAGCATGGATTATTATTGCACATATTAGTAAACAGCGTATTTCACATTGCCACCCCTTATTACTGTTACATGCCAGAGAGGTTATCATGCTGAAGCGATCTCAGTAGCTTTATGGCACTGCTTAGAAGCTGCTTAACTGTCTTCCCATTGTTGTCTTTACAGGTGCTAAAGGAGCTGATTGCAGAACCCTCCAGATGTGATTAGCTGTGTCCAACTCTTCAGGAAATAACAACCCGAGGTTCCAGCTCTTCAGCTCCTGCTTTGCGAAGCCTTTTCTTTTTACTCACAAAACCCGAACACAACTGATGTGAAATTATGACACTAGGTTGTTATCAACAGATTCAGATAAAGAATTTCCCCTCGGGGATCAATAAAGTATTTCTGATTCTGATTCTATCATTATAATAACTCTTACAACACATTATTTCAAGTCATACAAACCTACTTTTACATTTGTTATTGTTTGTTTTAATATTGATCTTTTTATGAATGCAAGACAAGAGTTTAAATTGTTAAACTATTCCTTGCGTATTAGGAATACTTTGTCATAAAATTGATCAGACTAATTGAACATAATAAAATCACATTCATCATCAGTTTCCTATGTTAATTTTAAATAGGGTGATCTAAACTCAACAATATATTATAGTTAACAGTGGCAAATGAAAATATTAAGATGGTATGTTAGTAGAAAGTAAAAAATGAAAGGTTGATGTTATATACTGTTTTATTTTGACATTTCTTTAAGAGACAAATGTGACATTGACTGAGAAGTTACTCAGGTGTGAAAAACAAAGAGTTATCTGCACACTGAATAGTTTTGAAGCCCTGTAGGAGGTGGAATTTATTGCAACCTCTGAGATGGTCTTGCGTGGCTTACATTGTATAGATGTATAGATTATTTACTACATGTGCATTCAATTAGCTCTGAGACCTCAGAGTTTGCAAGGTCACAATAAAAAACACCTAGTTGGATTCATAATTACTCTGTGCGGATCATTCTTTGTTTCAGCACTTACCCACAGGATGGTTTCGATGTGCACACATTTGTCTGTGTTTAAACTAGACTTAGACAGCTAATTAACTCAAAACACCTCCAAATTTTCTGAAGCCTGTAATCTCTGTTTGGTTCTGGTGCTCATAGTGAACTTTTCCACAGTATTCTAACTTTTTAGATGATCCTCTAAAAGATGCCTCATTGTATTAATGTTGACAGAACTATTATGTCACATACGTGGGAGAAAATGGAACATGGGAGACAGTCTTTAAATGTTTTTGTTTTGTCCTTTTAAGACAGACAATTTTATATCAGCTGTCAAATGTCCAGAAGCCAAAACTAGTAACTTTATTTTAAATTCAAAGTTTAAGCTTTCAGTAGCAGATGTGGAGGCGAGATCCTCAACAAGAATCTTGTGACAAATAAAAAAAAGTACCTTTCTCTCTCAAGTGTCCTATTCCAGACAATAACCACACACAGCCCTGCCGACAGCAGCAACGTTACTCAAAATAACGGTGTGGGGAATTAATTAAAGTGATGGCAACCGTGGTTAACGTTTCACAAGTTATACAGCTTCCATCATGTAACTAAGGACTCTACCACTAGCTTATTATGTTTAATACAAGTTAAATAATCAGGTGACATCCAAATAAACGACTCGTAACTACGGTTATGTAAAAGGGTTAAATTATTTGTTTGTGATGTAAGTAAACTTAAGGTAATTAATAACTGATTCATAGTTAACTGTTAGGTTGGTCTCAACAAAATCTAGTGTTGCAAAATAACGTTACCACATTTATATATTAAAAAGCATTTAAAACCTTGTTTAGTATAATGTCAATAACAGATATGTGAGTTATTTTAATATTTTCCTGTGTCTTACCTTGACTGTGAGCTGGTAACAATACGGCCACAGGTTCCAACCTCCACAGTACAGCATCGTGGATGCAGAAGCTACCTCTGCTAACGTAGAGTAGCATATACCATTAGCTCCTTAGCGTGAGCTAACTCGGTCACGCCGAGCTAGGCAGGAGTGGTTTTCCGCCATCACTTCTTGTAAAACTGTCAATATTTGAAATCTACACAGTTGATTTCTCACCTCAAAACTTCTCATAAGAGGATTTAGTGATGAAATAACGTATGAAAATTGTAAATTATAAAACTTTCTGCTGCTGCCCTCTGTCAGGTGCGCGCAATGATGACGCAGTGAAAAGTGACCATTCTCTCTGACCAATCAGCCGTTTTTTTCAAGTCACATTTTAGTATCGCCTCAGCTCGCTTCGAACTTCGACGGAGGTGATGCGAAAATATATCTGGAAGCAGGTACAGGTACAACTTTTCCACAATGGAAAACCACTGTGGTGTTGTCCTGCGCCATTATGTTGCTTCATTGGACATTATGTAGGTCACGTAAATTACAGTGACTGAGATTGGAGAAGCTGTAGTGTTAGTTACCCTTTCCAAAAGGATGAAAACCAACTCTGTTGGTTTTATTGTACTGCATTTTGTTAGCTGTGGTGTTCACATACAGCTTCACATAAGAGGCAGAATAGTGGCTGTTGCAAGCAACAGAGAAAACAGGTGTGTTGTTCACAGCCGGTTAAAAAGGCTATAAAAAAGTGATTTATTAACAAGTGTTTTATTTGAAAAACAACATAGCCCCTTAAAATATCGATTTTAGTTTCATGGGTATAGGAGATTTTATTATTGTATATTTCTCAAACACAATAATGAGTGAGTCAGTACATTTAAAGGTAGAGAACATGGATAACATAACTTTTTTGGTAATACAAAAGTACTCTAACAAGTTACTTTTCTCAGTAGGTAATGCTGTAACATAAATTAATTTTGAATGGAAGAAATCTTGTAATGTAAAAAATTACTTTTAAAGGTAACGTTACCCAATACTGGTAATAAGTAACAAAAGGTGAAACATGAACCATAACAGCACACTGACATGCACACATGGGTTTTCACTAGTTGGTGGTGGGCTACTTTTTAGTAAAACAAAATGTTTATATTTTCTGTGGGTGTTTTTTCTGCGTCCTTCTGGTAATTCTTGTTAATTGCATTTTGTGATAATAAGAATGAACATCTCCATTTTGTGAGTTTCTGCAATTTTCAGCAGACATGGTCAAACTGAAAGAATTACATCTTAGTCTTTTACATGAAAATAATCTAATCTAGAACCACTAAGATTAGTGAATTGACTCAAATAACAGAAAAAAAAAATAAACTAAGAAAAGAGCTAGTGTATTCAACTTCTGGAAGTTCTTTATCAGTGTAATTTTTTACAGCTGACATACAGTTTTTAAATATTACTGCTACCTGTCCCAAAATGACAATTTATCCAGCATAAACATGTTTTATGTTTTTAGTACATATGCATGACCATAATGATAAAGAAGTTTATTTACAGTAAGAGCATTGGTCCACTGAACTCTCAGGGAACACTGAGACCCCAAAGACAAAGCATCAGGTTCCTCCATCTAATAACTTGTGGACAATTGCCTTTTACAGTTTATTGGGAGGATCTTGTAATGTTTATATAATATAGAAATATTTCAGTTCCCTTTCAAAGCAGTAACTCACCTGCGTTTATTCAATCCCCAAAGAATCTTCAGCTGCTGTAGAGGTGGAGAGACAATGATTGGTCTGTCACAGAGAGAGATAGTGGACTGGTGGTCCCCCCATCTGAGACCTTGATTTCAGCTGCAATGGATCTTCAGTCGTTGATGGTTGGGCTTATGGAATATGTTAAACACTTAACCAAACCTGCCCCGAACTGAACTGAACCAAGCTCAACTAAACTGAGCTGATCTGAAACCTGTCAGAACCTGAAGTGGGTTGGGCATAAAATGCAAAACAATGCAATGTGATGTCTGGTTCTTGTACATGCTGGTTATACATTGTGTAATCAAACTGTGATGCTCTGTCTGTTTATTTTGTGATGAAATATTGTAATTTATTTTTATTTTGTGATGAAATAGTGTGATTTATTTTTAGAGTACCTTCTTTAGAGTAGTGCTAATTAGCAGAGTTTCAGGAGCGGGACCACACATCAACCACGTCATCGCCAGCATTTCCATAAATACCCACACGTCCCAGCCCCTCTTCTTCGCTCTCGCATTCTGCATCCCACCCCCTCACCCCTTTCTCTGTCTTGCCTCCTGATCTCCTTCTTCCTCTCCATAGGGTTATAGAGGGTCCGTCGTGCCCAGGTACTACGACGGATTTTCCTTTCGCAACTTCCCCACAACGCTTTTGATGTCTATTCAGCAACTGGAAGCCTTGTACATCTTTTTCGATCGTGAATAAATCATTAAATCATATCTGTTGATAATGTGGTCTTTGCTAGTGAATTAACTATTCACAGAAGCATTGTTGGCCTCTGTCAATCCACACAGACTCAGAGACACTTGCATGTGACACCTGTCAACACAGGACCACCTGAGATTTTTAATGCTCCAACAATGATTGACCAAGACCACCAGTTTTGCTATGCTCTTTCTGACTTCACCATAAGCTTCACAACAGTGTTGTCTAAACAGATTTATGTCTCTACAGTGTCATTATTACATTTTTATAAATACGTACACTCAACAACAACTCATTGTGAGGTGTCCGTATATAACTAGGGCCAGGCGATATGGTCAAAAATGTTATCACGATATTCTTACACTTACCATACAATGGATCATTTAACATAACATTCAAAACAATTATGATAAAGTTTCAACAAACATGCATAAGTACAATTAAGTAAAATCTCTTTTTCTCTCAGTCCCTTTTCCTCAACAAAATAAATAGCTTAATAGAAACATTAAAGGGGCATTATGTAGTTTTCAGCGGCCACTAGCGGTGCGGTTCTAAGATTGCAACCAGGTGTGTGCTCGTACGCGTGCTTGCTTGAAGTCATGAGCAAACATAGTCCGAAACACAACCACTTTCATACAGAAATACCACAATAAACACAGGAACACCAGCATGCAGGCTGTGGCTTTTCTCCAGACATGTTCAGGCTCTGTTACTTCGATGTTCCCGTCTCAGAGGCAGATCAACACCGGCACCATACCTTTCATTCAGCGCAGCAAGCTGCATATCGGCACAATCCTCCCGAAAAAAGGCAGAGTGAAAGCGGCTATAGACAGGCAGGGAGAACAGACAGAGCTGGAAACACAGGTCCACTGCAACGTTACAGTAATAGTTTCATCAGCTGCAGGCTGCTCGTTACATGATCACGGTACATTTACTACATGTAGCCGACATGCTACATCGTTAGCTCGCCTGCTGCTTTTCAGTAACTATCTTTATTATCTGTGTATCTTTCACTGGAGGCTCAGCAATGTCAGCACAGCTACATGTATTGGATGATAATGAAACAGTTAGTGAGC